ATCAATATCAGAATGGCTTAGATTGCATGATTAACTAGTAAGAGTTTTGAGCTGGCTGGTAATTTTAGATTAAATAGCCAGGCAGCCAGTGACTTGAATATTGATGAATATCCTGTGTTTTATTAATATGCATTCTCTATAAATTAGAGGCTTAGTACACAAAGAAGAAACCTAATGGTCTTGCTATTTTTCATTGCCACAGGTAGAGCTGAATAATTCATAGCAATTAATTTATTTCACTGATTTAGCCTTTTGGGGCGGGAGGGGGAAGTTGAGCACAAGTAGTCTGCAGGTAATTTTTTTCAAGTTTATTTATTATAAATAACTCACCAAACACATTTCAAGACTAATTCTTAGTTGCAGATAATTTTTCTGTATTCGTAAATTGGAGAAATTGGGAGGAACTTAGGCAGAACTGCAAGCAACCCATCAGTGATTACAAGAACCCAAATGTATTTTCAATTGAGAAAAAAGCACAGCTAATTGCAAATATAACCCAGTTAGGATCAGACTCATGTTGATCTGTATTGATTGGTGCAATACCTGTTGCATTGCGTGCTTCTGCTCCTTGTTTGATTGATTGTAATTCTTTAGGACCATGATTTTCTTACAAATATTTTTATGTGTGCAGAATTTGCTACCTGTATTTAGTCCCTAATGCATATAAAATGGAAAAGGTGAATGCTGCCCCTTTTGAAACCAAGGGGAAGTTTTACCATGGAAGACTTTGAAAGATCAGGGATTCCATCTACTGATGGAAACATTCCTGAAAATAATTTTTGTGCAAATAGAGCAATAACATGTCCAACACAAATGACATTTTATATTTGTGCAAAGGTTTATAGTACCCAAATATAGATTATGATTTTATTTTTTTAGGTAAGGGGGAGATGGTGCAGCTTTAAGTATGAGATTAAATGTTCTAGCACAAAGATCATTTACCAATCCTACAGCGCAAGGTGGCTGCAGCCCCGTTTCAGTGTCACACAGTCATATCCAGAGCAGATAATATCCAGAAACACATGAGGAGGAGGAGGCTGTGTGATTACTGCCTCTCCCTTTTGCTGTTTTTTACAGCACTCTGCACAGCAATGAGAGTTGCATAGCACACAATAAATCATTGCCTCATTATGCTCCTTCTGTAGGTTTGTTTAGGGCACCTACTCTAGTACCAGCTCCAGAGGATTATTTGTTCTTCCCAGAAATTCCTCTCAGATACAGACTTCTGTTTTGATTTGCAGAGAAAAAAAAATGTCCATGTCTTATTTTTAAAATAATTTCTTAGTGTACACAGCAATTTCCATTACAGAACAGCATAAGAAAATAATTCAGGCAATGTCTGAAGATTATTTTAATTTGTAGGTGGATGATTTTGTCAAGAGGAGGCAAGAGGTTAAAGAAGGTTTTCATGTTTTCGTAACTTGTCAACATGAAATATTAGCAAGTAAAACACAGAATCTTCCTCCCCCCTTTCTTCCTTCCTCCCTTCTTGCCTGTCTTCCTTTTTTCTTTCCTTCTTCCCTTCTTTCTGGTATACACAGAAGCTGGTGATCCCTTACCTTTCCTGATTATGTTGAATTGTTCTCAGTTGTAAAAGAAGCCTAAGTACCTCATTAAAAAATATTGTAAGGTCCTCATTCACTTTTTCCTTATGCCTTTAGCCAGCCCTAGTCTACAGCTGGTGCAGGAGGGCACCGGTCTGATGGGCAGAATAAGGATTTTTGACATTTGGTTTTGATTTAAGCAGACAAATCCTCTTAAGAAAAGGTGTTCATTAGTTGGCCTAATTTACTAACGAGGAGCAATATTCAGCATTGCTGATTTTGATAAAACAGTATTTATTTAGCATTGCACCAAGCAAATGCTGGAATAACCTAGATTGTACCTGCAATTAATTTGAAGGGCTAGAGCTGAGACTTTAGAGAGCAGGTGGATACACTGCAACACGGCTGGCTTTTGCTGCAGTGTGACAATGTGATCTAGGATCCGATCCAGACTCCTTGGAAATCAATGGAAATTCTACCCTTGACTTTACTGGGCTTTGGATCCTGCTCCAGTTGTGCCAGAGTGGTAATGAAATGACTCCAACATGGGGAAGAATTTTCTGGCTTAACAGATTCAGCATTTTGTATTGTCAGGTTTCTTTATACAAGGGGTCCTGACTTCAAGTTTGAATGGTTTTCACACATGCCTTGCTCTGATCTTCCCCTCTAGTCACAATTCCTTGAAATGCAGTAAATTTCCAGTTTGTGACCACTAACGGGCATCCCATCTGAACAGTGAAGTTTCGTAGATGATTATGATGTGAAACTCAAAATCATTGTAAGCTTGCTCAAAATGTGACCTGCCTTCACAAAGAAGCTCCTTGAGCTTTCTGAACCTTTCAACAAAACTGGATGTGTTCAAAGTCATAATGAAACACAAAACTAAGTCAGTTTTGTGTAATTTGGGGTTTTATTATACATACTTATGCATCATTGTGTCTCAGAGACTTGGATATAATTTTTATTTGATCCTAAACTCTTACAAAGAACCTAGGAATAGAAGATGTGCTGAGGTCAGGACCAGAAAAGACTTTTTCCAACACCCACTGCAACCTGAGTCCCCCATAAACATTTAGGACTCAGCAAGAATTGTACCCAACTCTTTTTGATGGAGGTATAGTGGTGACCTTCTAGATTGATTAAAGATGTGACATTGATTGACTTTGAAGGGAGCCACATCCACCCTTCTTCTGCCAAAAAAGCAGTGGCTGCAATGTGAAGCCTCAAGAATGGGGCATTGCTCTTCCAAGTACATGGAAGACATCCAAGGGTAACAGGATAATGCAGATAATGGGATAGGGTTTCTCCCCTCCTCTCCCTCAAATACCATATAGCTAGATTTTAGCTATCCAGACTCAGGCCTTATGAGACTTTTCCCTGATAGCTATTTAAAAGATGAAATACCTAAAGACATGAGCTCTTTTTATAGGTTATATAGGATGTTCAGTGGTTGAGAATGTCTAAAAGGACTGGTGATGTTGACTCTGCAGGGACCTTTAATGGTGATGGGGAGAGATGCTGTGAGGACTGGTGTGAATAGCGCAGTGGAACAGATGGTGTAGTGGTGGAAAGAGCTTTATTCTTCTGGCAAACCCACCCCCTGATGATTTTACCTGCTGTCACTTTGGGGTGTCTACTTTGAAAGATGCTAAAATGGCCAAATTTTCCAAAGATACATAGTGTCTTAGCAATATCTGGTGTCTTTAAGGCACCTTGGGTTGGCACTGAGAAATATTGGCCTCCAAAACTACTGCTGTTGAAAATCTAGGCCACTGAACCTGATATGAACCATCAGAAACAAGAGACACAGGAGCATTTATGTTGGAGAATGTGTAGTGTCTTGGAAACTACAAATAAAAATAATTCACCTTTTTATGTGTAAATCTTCTCTTTGATACATGAATAGAGAGGCTGTCTGGTTTCTGTAAGCAAGCAGTGTGCGACTGTACCCTCTAGAATGCTATTTAAGCGTTATTTAAAGCGCAGACCTGTTAAGGTCAAGCAAGCTCATCTGTATGCTAAAATGGAACGCACCAAACCTTACACCTAAAACCAGTAAGCAAGGAGGTCTCGAGTTCTGCAGTTCCCTCCTGACAAGGGTACAGCATGATAAATGGTGAAGCACCAAAAGATCAAAGTACTTTTTCAGGGCTAACGATAAAATCAGTGACAGAAAGACACCAAGTCCTGGCGCAGGTGTCTGCTGTTCCAAAACAGTCTTTTTCAGATATGACATCTCCAGCCCATTGCAAAGGGACGCGGGCAATAGTAGCATCAGCAAATTTAGATCCTGTGTGGTGCTTTTCTGAGCTGGTAGAAAGACTGAAGAGTCACTGCAAGAATCCCATGTGGAAGGGATTACTGTAACTCACTGAATTTACTATGAGCATATTGAAAAAAAGCTTTTCAATGTGGACATGGAAAGACAGTGTGATGTATTTTGCTCATATTCCAGAGTCGCTTTCCTCTATCTGAGTGCCTTAATCCAGATCCTGTTGAAGTCAATAGCTGTCTTGCCTTTCAGAAGGATTATGCCCCTAAATAGCTACTTTAGGAAGTGTACTTTGCTTGGTGATAACACAAAGCAGAGAGTGTATGATTAACACCAATTAGGATTATTTACGAGAACCTAGAAAACAATAGGTCCATAAATCATTGTCTTATCAATTGTAGTTCCTCCAGAGTAATTTAGTCATCATTGGGCAAACTGTGTGTTTCACTGTTCGTTAAGTAAAGATCTGCCTGATGTTAGCTGAAGCTTGTGGAAACACTGAAGGTACAATATGACCTAGTAAAATAGCAGAGTGTTACAAAAAAACTTCTGGTGGTTTTCAACATTTTTTATGTTATAAATCCCCTACAGTTTTTCCCCAGGTATATTTAATGAATTTAAGGTGACTGACAGTAGCCTTGTTTCTCTTGGGTTATGCTTCAGCTCTGTCTACATTATTGTCTCAGTTTGGAGCCTGGGGTGGTTTTGCAGTAACCCCCTGGTTGTCTCCAATTGTTGGGCACTAGTACAGCTGCAGAGCAGCTTTGGTGCACACAGATTCCTTCCAGAGGAGACCCAGTGGGAGCTCTCTCCAAAAGCAAGCCAGGGCTTGGTGGCACATTCAGTGCTGATCCAAGCGGTCAGCCACACCACCTGAAAGTCCTTCAGGGTTTATGTAACCCTACTTTGCAAGAGGGAGGCTGTCAAACTGCCCAGAGCTCCCATGCCAGCCTGGAGTAGTGCTTGTGCTATAAGGTGAAATGCTTTACGTGACACCCTTTTTGCTGGTTACTGGTGGGTCTTGTGACTGCTGCTCCTCTTCCTTCCACCAAAACTTCTCCTGCTTCTTTATCTTTTCTGTTTATTAACTGCCCCATCTTCTATAGCTGTTCGTCCCTGCTGCTGTCCTTTTTTCTTCTACTTTTATCACTTTTTGTGATCCCTTTTCCAATTTCCAACCTTAGTCTCCCAGAAGACCTGGAGTGGTGACGTCTGGATGCAGAGGAGATCACACTGCTTATAAATCTGCACCATGAGGAGGCCAAAAGTTTCTTCAGCAGCAGGAGGTAAGCCAGGACTGCTGGTGGGTCTAAGGAATGGAGATCAATGCCACACGCATTTGAGAAGATGAAGGCGGCGTTCTTGAGAATGGAGACTTTGGGGCAGTATCACGGTCCTGTACAGCAAGATTGAAGAGATCTTCAGGTGGGAACACACCAGCCAACCAGCTGCTTGTTTGGTTTAGACCATGGACCTCTGGGGTCTACACACAAGAGACTGAAAACTCTTGACTTACCCTAAATTTCCTCTTTGTGGACTTCTGATGTGATAGGAATGGCACAAAAAAAATCAATATATCTGCTTTGCCGTAACTTTTTCAACCTGCTAACTTTCCCAGGACTAATTTCTGCTCAAATTACTAGAACTTAATTATATAAGTCTTAATTTCAGTTGCTTAGCCAGCTTTAAAAACATATATTCAAATTTGAACCACAAGGGCAGAATTTTGGGAGCCTCTTTGTCCTCTCACTTTGTGTTAGTTTAAATGAAGAAACTGTGCCTGTGAATCTCTGCTTTATTACACCTATTCCAAGTCTCACTTCTGGAGAGACTTCCCAGACTCTCAGCAGTTTAAGGGGGAGCACAAACTACCCCTTATAATATAGATTATGTTTTTGAAACTGTGCAAACAATAGATATTTGTCTCCTGATTATTAATTTTCTTGTAAATAAAATGTATTGAGACCAGAGATGGAGTTACACAGAGTTACCCCAGATAAGAATTTGTATTGACATTTTACACAGAAGTGTTGTATTATCTGTACGTTTCTCAAGTAGATCTTGCAATGTTTAATTGCAACAAAAAAAGAAGTGGAGGGAGAAGCAAAGGAGGGGCATGGAGGAGAGAGAAGGTGAAAGGACACAGATGGGAAATGGTGGAGTTGGAGGATAGCACTCACTATCAAAGCATTACCTGAGAATTCCTATGATTAGGACTTACTATCTTTCTGACCTTACCATTTCATTATAATCTGCTGCTTAGGTGATAAGTAATAAATGGCCTTCGAATTTTATTGCATTTGTTCACTTTCTTTAGAAGATTTTTGCATCAGTTTGTTCCCCTCCATAAGATCTTATTTCTGTGTCATGGTTTAACCCCAGCCAGAAACTCAGCCCCACACAGCCTCTTGCTCACTCCTCCCATGGTGTGATGCGGGAGAGAATTTGAAAATTAAAAGTGAGAAAACTTGTGGGTTAAGATGAACACAGTTTAAAAAGTAAAATAAAAGCCACATATGCAAGCAAAGCAAAATTAGGAATTCATTCACCCCTTCCCTGGGGCAGGCAGGTGCTCGGCCATCTCCAGGGCAGCCAAGCTCCATCACGTGTAACGGTGACTTGGGAAGACAAGCTCCATCACTCTGAACGTCCCCCCCTTTCCTTTTTCTTCCCCAGCTGTATATGCTGAGCGATATGCCATAAGGTGTGGAATATCCTTTTGGGCAGCTGGGGTTGGCTGTCCTCCCTGTGTCCCCTCCCAACTTCTGGTGCACCCCCAGCCCACTCGTGGGTGGGTGGGGTGAGGAGCAGAAAAGGCCTTGACTCTGTGTAAGCCCTGCTCAGCAGTAACTAAAACATCCCTGAATTATCAACACTGTTTTCAGCACAAATCTGAAACATAGCCCCATAGTAGTTACTATGAAAGAAGTTAACTCTATCCTGGCCAAAACCAGCATATTCTGTTTTCATGAAGATTTTATGTTTCTGCTGGAGTTTATTTGTTTTTCTGGTATATCAGTGTTGTTATTTAGCTAGCAAGTGTCCCACAGCAATTCATCAACTAATAATTCCATCTATCACTTTGGGATGATCAAGGATACTTTGCAGCTGATATGGAAACACTGATGTATATCTGGAGTTGGCCACCCACCTCCAACTCAGTGGATAAAAAACTGCCTGAAGAGCCAAAAAAAGACATCTTTTTTTAAACACCCCAACCTGTTAGTGAGTTATCCTTAATACATTGGCATCGTGCCCCTTCTTTCTTCTGCAGGAATGCTAGCCTGGCTCTGCAGCCCTGGTGGTTTTTGTGTGTTACAGCATGCAGAAGAAATAAAATGCAAGAATAATTTGTAATAGTGCAAGACTGATTTCATTGCACTTTATCTCTGCAGCCCAGGATCACCTTATTTACCTCCAAAGAGGCAAGTGTAGTGAACAGCACCTCTGGGGAGTGATCTTGCCTCATCAGTGTGGCCGTGCAGGAGAGGGATCCTTGTAGGGGCTGGCTATTGTTTCTAGGAGCTCAGTGACATATCTTCAAGGGCTGAGGGTTCAGCTTCTTCTGTGTGAGAGGGGAGAGGAAATGACCTTCACCCAGCTGAGAAGGGAACAACAGGAAACCCTCACAGTCCAAAGCTCCATTTCCCACCCCCCAGAATCCAACACTCAGGGACCATTTTGACAAAATGTCAGGGTTTAGCTGCTACAAATATATTAGCAAAGTACGTTGATGATTCATGGCAAAATGGTGTACACTGATTTAAGTGATGGACTAGTCATTCTGTAATGGATTTGAGAATTCCCAATCAGATTGTACTTAGTTTTATCAAGCAGGAAGCTGGCAGGCTGTGTTTTAATCAACTGATAGCATCGCTTGACAATTGGCATCCAGTTAGTGAACAGAGTATTTCTCAAAGACCAGCTCACTAAGTTGCAAACAGCAGCATCCACTCAGATCTTTCAGGTTTACCTCCTATTTGTTCTGTTTAGCCTGTTTCTTTCCCATATTAAACTTCCAGCTGGAAGTGCAGAAAGATGCAGCACATCAGATCCTCTGCTGCTCTTTTACCGATGTTGGACAGGGAATGGATGAGGCAGAAGACATTTACTTCATCCTCCACGAAGCTATGATGAAGCAAACTCCTGGATATAGCACAAAATCCCAGAACCATGCAGATTCAAGGATTTGGTGCTGGCGCAAGTTTTTGAGCACTCACATTGCATGAGTGCAGTAAATCTATAACATGGGGCCACACCAGGTGAGACATGGCCTTTTCCCCTTTGAGTCAGGCTGTTTCATGACCCATTATCTACTTTATCACCAAAGACATACCCTGTGTTCTGACCTGTGCCAACAGATATCAAGAATGGTTTCCTTTCCTGATAAAACTTATCAGACTCTTAATTACTTCTGGCAAAGACCAGCTCCTGTTGAGCATCTTCACAGTGCAAACCCTCAGGTGCCATAGCTACCTTAAATAATTTCCTGCTCAGGATTTATGTTCTATCACAGTTATTGAGCTGTGCAGCCATCTACACCCATGTAGCTGTACTCAAGCACAGAGTCAAACCTGGGGAGCTCGTTTGTTGTGCCTAGCTCTTGTATAGTAGTTACTGTGCTTAGCAACCCACCTCCAATATAAATATATCTGCTACTCTGAAGAGAAGGCTTTGAAAAGCACCAGAAGGGATCACTCCCCCATAAGGATTTTTTCCAACATTGCAGAGCTGTTAGGACTTTAAGAGAGAAATTCTTCTCCCAGTTAAGCTTCCCATCCAGAGAGGTCAAGATTTCACCCCAGTCTGATGAAGCTCTGGTGCAACTTGCTGCGATGGGTCATGAGCGCCCATTTAAGAATGGGTTCTGTCTGAACTGCTCTTGATCCGTGCAGGCATGGAAGGAGACAGAGAGCAGCCATCCATGATGTCTTTGCATAGTGGTCCCATGGCACTGTGTTGGGGAATGGCTCACCGGGCTGCTAGCCAAACTGTATAATCCTGTTGGTTTAAAATTGGTTAAACATTTGGGGCCCTCAGAAGAGTCTGGTGATTGAAAGGATGCAAAATAATCATGTTCCCAAAAAGTAATAAAAATGAAAGCAAGGTATAAGAAACAGAGAGGAATGATTCACTGGGAAATTGTACTCCTGAAATTGTGTTGCAAATCCTGTGTGATGGAGGAGGTTTATGTAAATATGTAGGGGCCAGATCCTGGTTTGTCCATATGAGTTGAAGTTACAATGAAAATTAGCAATCAACCCTGTAATTTAAAGGAAAATTTTAACTTCCATCTTAGATATTGTCTGCTGACCATTACATGAAAACCAGAAAAAATGAAAAAGAACCCTGTCTTCAGTGTCACATCTACCTGAGCACTTCAGCAGACAATGCCACCCACTGCAGGGACTGAAGCTAAGTTTTCCAGTTCCAGAACCATCAAGAGGACATGTGAAAGCAATGCTGAAAAAAATCTTCTGTCTTCTCTCCCTGGACTGGAGAGCATATGATTTCCACAGGGTCATTTTATGTGTAAATGTTCCTATTTGTATGTTTTACAGATTAAAATAAAAACATATCTTGCAAACATATTCAATAAGTCAATTTTAAAGCAAGTTAGTTAACAAATCTAAGCTTGATCACAGAGCATAACTAAGTAGGAAAAAGTGAAGGCTGGGGGGATTCTAGTCTGTGAAGAGTCTAATCTTCACTTTCTTATTCTTTGGGTTCATTTATTACAATGTTTGCTCAGTTTTATAAAAACCCTGCTGATGGAATCATCTAATTTCTGAGAGCACTTCCAGGGACAGGAAGCCACATTACAATACCTCACATTATATGTCATTCAGACAGTATCTCCCAGATCATAAAGCCTATGGAAAGAGACTGGCACTCGAATAGAAGATTCCTCCTCCTTTTCCTTTTTCTGAGCATTATTTTTCCAGCTCAGTGTACTCTTCCTCATACTGTCTGACCCCATGCAGGCAGGCTGCTCATTGCCATTCTGTGGAGAAACAGACTGGGATGTACCTGGCTGCCTCATCCTTTCTCCACTACCTTACACAGAAATAGGGATTTTCCCTTCTGTCTCTGGGCTTTCATTTATATCACCTGACTGTCCATGTTTTGTGCCTATAGGTGCTGCTATAGGAACTGATGAACTGGAACAGGTCAGAACTGATCCTGCTGAAAAAATATCTGAAAAAAGTCCAAGTTTCAGATTGATAATTTCCCTGGTCTGAATCACTGCATTTCTGTCCAAATATTTGCACTAGCACAAGGTCAGGATAGGTACAAAGAGGCAGGACCTCTCCAGCCAGCCATCAGTGCTAACTCAAGGGCCTGTGGCACTACCTTCTCAATTTTTTTTCAGCAGTTTCAGGGATTTTGGTAAAGACATCAAGGAAGGGTTGTATGGTCTTAAAACCATATGGCATTGATCCATTCATGTTCATACAGTCAGACAGGGCTTCAGTTTTTAAGATTCCTTCCCTATTATCATAGAAACTTGATAATTACCATAGAAGCTTGCTTGCAACTTGCTTGAGACACCACTTTCAATGTAGTAAAGCACTTGCAGCTTGCATAAATCTCAAAAATAGGTGAAAATAGGTTTTCTGGAAGATGATCCTGTTGCTCTAGATATTATTTTAACATTCATATCTAAGGCCAAGACCTCAATCCAAGCTCCTCCAGTTGACCACAAAGACCATAATCAATTTTATTTTGTGTGGTAAATCCATTCCAGATTACCATTCCCACTGCATATTTCTTCATGTAGGAATTATGCACCAGACTATCTGGTCTGATTAATACCAGGTTATTGTGCTTACTAATACACTTACAACACAACTTTTCAAGAGGAAAATAATCCTGGTCTTTTTAAACACTGAGGAGAGCAGAAAAAATGACAACATCAGGACTAAACCAGTTCTGACAATTTCTCATTTCCATTTATTCAGAAAAAA